TATTGTCACAATGTAACATCTGTTGTACCCTTAGCCCTCTTCAGGAGTCTGTTGATTTGGCTAACCTTCAAGGAATATTGACCTGAACCCTTCATTTAATCTACAAGGGTGGATTGTTCTAATTCCACTGTCCAAGTTTAGGGATATCTTATCTTTTTAGTACCACTCAGTTATTGCACATCCTGTTTCCACTGAGCCTGAGCTACGTAACATGAGAAATGAGGCTATTAGTCTATGGTGAATATTCAATGCACTTACTAAGTTTTCTCAAATACACAGACCAGTAGATAAAATAAGTACTTTTTTTTTTACACGCATAAATGTATATGTATATCATTTTACAAGTATGCATTATTTCCACTTGGACTATTGTCCTCATTTTTGTTGCTATTATTACAATATTTCAGCTATTGTGCCCTCTTGCCTTCTTCAGGTTCATATTGATATAGATAACATTCAGGAAATTTCATCTAAATCTTTAATTTATTATACAAAGTCAATTGTTCCACTATCCATGCCTAAGAGTATTTTGCCTTGTCCTTTATCTCGTGCTACTCAGTTCTTGTTTGTTTTCGCTGAGTCTAAGTCTGCACTATGTAGATTGAAGCATCATTTTAATCCATTAGGCTATTGTCCTGTAATGTAAATAATGATAACTCCTCATCCCAAAAATCCAGATGGAAATAAAGTGTTTACAATTTTAAAAATAAAAAATTGCAGTTGCTTGTAATTTTGGAGTGGAATTTTACTGTTGCCTATGACTTGTATGTGGAAATACAAGCAACAAATGTGTGTCTTTTTAATAGTTTAATGTTGTATTTTTGTTTTCCTCCTGCCAAAGAAACCCCTCATTAATATAATTGATTTCATACCATTTGAAAATATGATTTTAAAGAAATTCATATTAATCTCTTCTTTTGTAGCTAAACATTTCATCTGTTGTCATTTTTAATTTCAGTGAAAACATTGCAGTTATAAAGAAATCTGAGTTTGAATGCTTGAAAGAAACTTATATAGTTTTCATAAAGTTTTTTTTCTTTTTTTCTTTTCATACCAAAAAGAATTATATCAAGAAAACTTATTCCTGGCATCTTTCTGAATTTTTTTTTTTTTTATTTTTTATTTCCAGACTTGGATATCTCCTTGACATTAACTTAGAACAGTTGCAGCAGCAGCAGCAATTCATACAACAGCAACAACAACTGGAAGTGAAAAGCCAATAGTGGAATTTTGCAAAGAACTTGAATTTGGCAACAGCCTTCAGTTTTGTCATATTTGTTCACGAAACCTGCAGTTATCCTAACTTAAATCTATACCAATCATAAAAGCTGCTATTTTGTTTATGCTTGTCACTGTGAACTACCACAAACAAATTTATATTGGGCACTTTATATTAAGAGACTAAAAAAAAATGGATGCCACAGTTGCCACCAATTTGAGCTCTTATTTTTCTTGTTGAGTGTTATCATATTTTGGGCTTTTTAATGTCCTATTACTTACCATTTTTTGGTAGGCAATAAACAAATGCCCAATTGACTGTTATTGTAGAATTAAGAACACAGAGTCAGCTTCCTTTTGCCCATTACAGCCTGATTTGTGGTCTTACACAGAAATCTTTCATTTTTCATTGTAAACTATCAACTGTCATCATTTCTTTTCTTTTTTTTTTTAATTTCCTCAAAAGCAATACCATTTGAGTCTGTTCGTCTAACAGCTTCATCCAGTTATCCACACATTTCATTTTGAAATTAACCCAGAGTCATAAACCCCAAAATAGTGGCTGCAAGCTGGGGCCCCACAGTGAGCAATATACTAAGTAATCTTTGGGTTTATCTTTTCAAACAGAGACTAAAGCTGTGAGGCAAAGCTTTAAAAACTTCTTTTTTTTTCTTATTCAATAGATTCTGTTTTATAATATTGGTTCACTTAGGATTTATTGTGACTTTGCCACTGTGCCTTGGCTCCAGAATCTCTACCCATTTGTAAGGTAGATTATGAATGTTTGTCATATTTTACATTTGGATGAATGTAAGAAACAACTTGACAATTCTTTATTTCTCTGTATATTTAAAAAAAAATTGTGATTTGGTGAAGGGGAAATATTTTACCAATTCAGAGGCAAAACTAATCATTTTTCTTTGCTCTATCTTCTTTAGAATGTGTCATTTGTATGAGTGTGCATGCATCTCTTAATTACTACCTTAGATTAATGATAAGCACTGTGTGAATAAGTGCAGTTTAAATAAGAGAAACAATTTTTAAGAAATCTTTATTTCTTTTTACTGTATTTCACTTTTTATGATTATAAAGGTGACCTGAGAAATGAATGTTTCGCCATCTTGTTTAGTTTTTGCTTGTAATAAATCTTTTATAGTGGAATATATGACTCATTAAGTATGAAGAACTTTATAGTATATACTACATGCTTCCAAGCATTTCATAGCATATGAAAAAGTTTAACAATTACTTATTACTGAATTTATAATTCACTAAAACGTTACCAAGTTTATCAAATATTCTGTAATGCTTTGTAGAAGAAACAAAATTTAAATAATTATTAATACATTAAAGCTAAATAATCACTATGAAATAAGTATCATTTTAGCATTAACAAAATAAAATTAACAAAATTTGTAGGTTTTCAATGAGTTTGGTGTTAATGAATTACCAATAAGTAATGATTAATGAATTATCCTGCTTTACAAAGAAAAAAATATTTAGGTATAGCTTTATAAAGTTATCTTTTTATTAATACAGGGTACAATGGTTAAATTGTCTAAATTATGCAAAAATGAAAATATCACTGACATCTCAATTTAACAGATATATTTAAAAAAATAATTGAAATACTAAAGAATAAAACTTATTTAATAAAATCACCATTGGCTTCAACCACAGCCTTTAGACGACTTCGGAATTTCCTGCAACTCTTCTAAATGGTCTCCTTGCTTAAGTTAGTGAATGCTGTCATAATCCTTGCCTTCAGGTCTTCTTTGGGGTTACAAGGAATTTTGTCGGTATCTCACTCAACGGCACCCCACACTTAATAATCAAGTAGGTTGCAGTCTGGGAAGTTAGGTGGCCAGATATAAGAGACGATGTGGCCGCAGAAATTGTCTGACAGCCATAACTGTTTTTTCCTGCTTATGTGTCATAGTGCAGAGTTCTGTTGCCAGATATAGGGTCTCCCCCACTCCTTGACCCAGGGTGTTACTACTTCCTCAAGGCACTCTATGTAGGTCTCTGTGTTGAGTATGGCCCTGTGGGAAGATAAATGGAGGCATAATGTTGTGATCACACCAAACACCATGATGATATATCAGCCAACTCTTTCCAAATCCTCTGCATCCAATTCCTCTGAACTGTTCTTATGGAGCTTCCGCCGCAAATGCCAAGCAGTACAGTATGCTGTTTCCAAATTTCTGGTGGTGTGAATTGTGTCATGGTGCTGTTTTTCTCACAGACGATGCTCAACTGACCTTACTATACTGTGCAGTCAACAAAATTAAAACAATGTGCATGCACAAAATAAAAAATATAAAATAGTGACAATTTACCCATCGCACCATATATATATAGGGTCTCTCAGAATTAACTATTTCAGTAAAATTGGGCAAATTTTTAAAAATCTGACATAATTTTATGTTTATTACTTAGTTATGATACAGAACAAATAGATTTATAAATCTTACATCAGGACTTTATTGAAAATTTCCAACATGTGCTCTGTCTGTATCCCTACAAATTTCAAATCTATCCTTAATGTTTTGAAACACACTTTGGAGCATTTCAAGAGTTATCTACTGCACTGTTAACTGAATGTATTCTTTTAAGCTCAGCTAAACTATTGATCTTTTGGCAATAAACCTTTGTTTTTAGGAAACCCAAGGCAAAGAAATACAGGTGGTAGGGGTCAGCAAAGATATGTTCTTGTGTATTCATTATTATTAGGATTTTGAAAGGGAATGAAAATAAAATTAGAAAAAAAAAATAATAAAGTTATTAACAAAATAATACATATTAAACATGATGAACAGAAATAAAAGTTAGTTTATAAAAAAATTGTCCTATTTTACTGAAATAGTTAAGTGTGGGACCCCCCTATATCATTAAATGTAATTAATTTGGACATCAAAATAACTATGTAGGCAGAGAAACTAGCAACATTTTACTAGTGTGCTAAGTGACTTTATTATTAATAATAATTAGAGTATTTCATATTAGAGCATTGACTAGCAAGCAAGTTTCAATGATCATTACTACTATGATGAGTTTTATCCACACTGAGCGCTCCTCATTTCTAGCCTTGTGCCAAACTAAGTTTAGTAAATACCTAGAGATGATTTTTTTTTAAATAACTGAAGATTGGATAAATAAGCTACAAAGAATTTATTTATTGGTTCAAATTCTGTTACTTTCTGAGTTATTTTGAATTTGTAATTATATATTTTGTTTACAACTCAGTATTTCCTGTTTTCTCATTGCAAAAAGACATATCTTTAGAATTTTTCATAACATTAATAGTATTTTTGATAATAAAAATCAAATTATAAATTCTAAACAATTTGAAAAATATTTCAAATGGATAGAAGTAATGTAACAAAGTCTACTTAAGTGGTTGCCTATCAAGGCCCAAAAGCCACTCAAATTAGAGGGTTACTGAATGAAGTGTGTGATATGCAAAAGTAAGAGGAGGAAGTAGAGAATGAAGAGTATGTGAATATGGAGGATAGATAATAACCTTAGACTTGAAGAGGTGAAGATTGTAGTGTTTGAGGAAGTATCCATCCAGGAGTCCATTCCACAAAGTAGCAGTTTTTGAGAAATTTTCTGTGTGGATCATCCTACTTAACCAAAGGAATATGTAGGGAATGAGGGTGATTCAATTCTGTGGATGTGGCAAGGCAGGTTTTGACTGCAAAAGTATTCAAGAACAGAAAAGGCAATAGGCTTTTAGTTCTGATTTCTGGTTGTATTATTTCATATTAATAGGCATATAACCATATCACATTGAAACACCAGTTCTCTTATGATCACCAAAATTAAGTAACATCAAGCCTGGTCAGTACCTAGATGGGTAATCACTTGGGAATAACAGGTGCTGTAAGCTTGGATGTGCAGTTGGTATAATGGATAATATCTCAGAATTGTTTATCAGAGAGCGAAGTTCTAATTTGGTTCATTATATTCAGTTATGCACAAATACCCTTTGGAAAGGCATGAATCCACCTCTTCTCCCTCCCAGCTATAGGTTAATTAGTATGTCTTGTTTCAGTAAAATAATTATTAACTCAAAAAACTTATTTCAATCTCAAAATATTTCCTGGTTTGCAAAGGGTTAAGCTGTAAAAACCAAAACAATCACTCATATTAATAACTTTGAGAAAGACATGAACCTTAGAATTACCCCCAACTATCCACAGATAAATTAGTATCAAACATAATTAATAACATTGGGTACTAACAAATTGTAACAAATGTGATTTGCTTTTTGTGTAATTGTGTCTCATTGTCTTTTTATTAGCACACTCCAATAGGTTTGAAGTCCAGAGGGTGTAGCAATCATTTCAAGTCAATTTCACATGCAAGAATTGTCCTTTTATAAATCTTCATTAGTTGGCTACAGTGTCACAAATTGCTTATTGTATTAGACCAGGTGGTTTTAAGTTATCCCCTCTTTAAATACTGGCATGATTTGACAATGTTTAATTTTGGTGATCAGATAAGAACCAGTGCTTTCTGTATGATTTAACCACTTGCTTATAAAAAATAGCCATAACTGTTTTTTTTTTTTTTTCAATGTGCTCTTTCTATTATGATTTGATAATTCTTTGTTATGTATATAAAGAAGTTAAAATAGGTATAAACATTGTTTTGGTTTTTGGTGGGGGTTATATTTATTATTTAAAGAAAAGTTACCAATAGCTAAAGTGTTTGTTTTTTGGTTTTTTTTTTCTATTTTTGCTTAAAATATACTGTTATGATATTCTTTTAAAATAATCTTAATAACTACTACTTTTCTCTTGTTTGGTATCAGGTTTATTTAGCCAAATTTAGTGTTTTATGCAATCTAAAAAAAATTATTATTGCTGTCAAAAAATTTGAATCAGTTTTATTTGTAACATGAAACATTGTAACTAACTCGCTTCATAAAAATCTTTGCCAACTAGTGCCTCAGAGTACAACATTTGATATCAACTTTTTGGAGTAAATCAAGCTTTCATTTCATTGTCAAGCATGTATTAAAGTTTTTTTTTATCTTGTTTTATAACTACTTTTTAAAAGCTTCAGTATCAAGTTTTGAAAAGAAAATTATATAAAAAAAAATGATAATTTTTAATATAAAGAAACCATTTTGAAAATTGTTTAAAGATGAATTTGATGACATTTTTAATAGATAATTATTTTGAATAAATGTTCAACAGTTTTAGATATATAATTATGAACCTATATATTCATAATTGTTATTTTGGCAATAAGAAAAAAGTTTTTGCTTTTTTTTTTTTTTTTTTTTTTTCCAATATTCTTGAACTAAGGGAAAAAAGAAATTCAATCAAGAATATAGATTTAAATTTCCTGAAGTTCATTTCTCTTGCAAAATTTTTTCTGATTGATACAAAAGAAGTGTCAAGAAGTTCTGAAAGAGATTCCTCCTGAAATTCTGATAGTGATCATTTGGTCAGATTTTGGGAATGGAATTGGATCAAGAATTTTTGACAATACTTTGTATATATGTTTTTTTTTTTTTTTTTTTTTTTTCAAAAAAAAAAATTGATTTCTGCTCAGCCTTATAACTAATCAACTAAAACCTTGAATAATTCTTCTAAGCCCTATTATTTATTTGGTTATTCTCCTATCTGTTATAAATCCTAATGTTGCTGGTAAAGAGATATTTTCTATTCTTCTCTGTTGGCCAAAGAGTGGCTCTCTAACATCTTTACATTTAATGCAATACAAAAATACCTCTCACATAATAGTAAGACACAAGCTAGATGAAGACACCATTGACACTAATGTCATCCTTATGTGGGCCATATCTCTGGTAAGTATTTCTGCTGCAATCTATATTTAACACATGCACAGTGTTAAATTCAATTGTAGCCAATTGGACTAAGGTATATTATAATAGGGAAGATACCATTAATATATGTGGTATCTATATGACAAATACAGCATATGGCAGAAATACTTTCCAGATAATGGTAAGACATTAGTGGAAATGATGTCTTCATCAAGCTAATGTCTTACTATACTGTGGGAGGTATTTCTGACACACCCTATATAATAAGACTTGTCTTAACTGGGGCTAATTGTTATAAATAAAGGAAATTAAAAGTAGTTGTTTTATGCATGATGTTTGAAAATATTTGAGCAATTTATTGGGAGGATTATTAAAGGTAGACAGTGTCTGTATCCATACAGGTTTTCTGACTTATGTCACAAAATATTCATCTTTTGTACACAAAGTTTATAATGAAAATCCTAGAGGTTCTTGTTGATATTATTCTTTAGTTTCCAGCTGAGGCAAAACTAAGTACCAAACAATAACCTTCAATGTAACACAACATGCATTAGATTCCCCTCCCAACTGTAAAACATTTAACACATTTCATGTTATATAATACACACCTATAATTTGGCAAAGAATATATTTAAAAAAAACTAATTTTAACATGTTTACTTTTTTCATATTTTAACATTTTCATTTGTAATCATAATCATTTATAATCACATCTGTTTAATTCTGGGGTCATCAAGAGATGAGATGCCAAACAGGGGTTAGCCTAGTTAACTCACCTACACAAACCCAACTACCTGGCTATAAAATGCCTGGTAGTTTTTTTTTTTTTTTATCTTATTTGGTAAGTGTAATGGATAACATTGGGCACATGGCTGAATGATTAGAATGTTCGCTTTTTGACCATGTGACCCAGGTTCGAATCTCACCATTGTCAATTTGTAAGTAAAGTGACTTCTTGATATTATCAGTCTGGAGGAGGCAATCTCAGTGTGCAGCACATTTCGAAAGTGATTGAAAACAATACCACAGTTTTACCCATGCTTTGTGAGTGAAATTGGGTAGACAGAACCCTTTGGGAGCCATCAATGTTTGTGCTAGAACAAAGTCATAAGTTGTCGTGACCGAGGGTTTGAGTGTTCTGGCGTTGTTCAGACTGTTTATGCTAGATAATGTGCTCTCTCCCAGAAACTAACTAAGGCCTGCTCAGCATAGTTGCAATATAAACCACAGGTGGGCTCTGTAGATGTTGAACAAACACAAATGTGTCTGAGCAGGCATCTGTAACAGGGATTAGTTAGCCACCCTAGTAGACAGGCATCCTCAGATACAAGTGGCCATTCATCCATCTATCCATCCAATGGATAACAGCTCGGAATGAGAAATCGAAAAGTTGAGTTCAAATTCCAATGAAGATCATTACACTTGCTTATGTGAAAATAACCTTGGAAAAGGTATAAATGAATTTATCCCTCCAACTATGGATTAAATAGCAGGACAGACTGGATCCTCCAGCCTTGGTTGGCAATCAGTCTACTGCAGATAGTAACAGCAATCTACTACTGGAATTCTTCTACCAAGTCAATCATGAATAAAAAAGAGACCTGATTGTCCAAGTGTGCATCACATATAGCCCCTTGGGGAGGAAGGACATATATAGGTATAGATTCCCTACCTGATTAAATAATTTATGTTGGTGTGTCCTACTGTTATTTGAAATACAACAGATGGAGTTTACATAATTTTTTAAGCCATTCAGACAATCTTAGCCAAATGAGCAATTATCCAAAATTCAAATCAAAATTTAATAATGTTCAAATTGAGCATCTTTCTGAGTAACCAACATTTGTACTGTGGTTTGTAAAGAGAATGCTTTCAGTACTGAGATGAGGATTAAACTTTTCTTCATTGGCATTAAATATCTGTTAAATTCTTGATTGATTCTAGATTTTAAACAGATAACCTTTTATTTCTGCTGCCTATTTGTCTTATCAGCTACACAAATCAGGAAATCACTTTATAACCTATTAGAAACAACTATTTTAGCAAATAGAATAAATTGTATACATAGGGAATTAATTTGATTAGAAAGGTAATTATCCCAGGAAATCTTTCTATGCTATATTTCCTATATATAATCTTGAATCTGATGAATATTCTATGTGTTTAAGGATTTTACTAATACTGATTTGTATTTCATAATCAAGTAGTTTAGATACTAGTATTTATTGCTGTTTAAAATGATTTCAGAATGACTTAAATATTGTCTATAATTTTGAGAGTTGTTAACATTTCAAGTTTTGTTGGATCATTTGAACTCCTTTGTGTTTTTGATGTTTTGATTCATTCTTTGGCCTTTGTCAAATGTATAATCCACACAAAAAAAAAGAAAATAAAGTTTTTCTTCAGAAAATGGTAACAAAGAAGAGATGGTTTTATAAAAACACCAAGAAGTTTGAGTTCAATTATTAAAAAAATATAATTTGAAATGTGTATAAAGACTTTTAACTGAACAAAAGGATATTTTGATAGTATTTCATTACAAATTTTTAAAGTATATTTAATATTGTTATACATTCATCTAATCAGGTAAGTGTCCTCAACTTGGTTGTTAAGGTCACAGCATTTTGGTTGGTGCCAAAACATTGTCACTTTAACAACCAAGATGAGAACATTAGGCTGAATAGATCAGTTTAGAATAATAATTTCTTGAAAATTAAGATAAAAATGATATTTAGTACCTTTTTAAATAAAAAAATAAAAAAATTGCATCTTTGTTAAAATTAACTTAGTCATCTTAATAGATTAAATGTAGTTTTGAATGGCAAGATGCAGATATGAGGCACAACTTTTAGAAATCAGCAATGCCTTTGTTAATGAAATTTCACTTGTTCTGTAATCTAAAGGGTTCAGTTGACTAAAAAGATCATATCAAATCAGTGTAATTATTGGTGTAATTCGCTCTATTTCAGAACACATGAATTACATGTTTTTATTTCATCCAGTATTAGAAGCAAATTACTATATTTCCATCTTGTATAAATGAAAGATCAATCTTCAATTATTTTTGTCATTTGAAATTTGCTAACA